ACAACTCCGCACGTCGCCGATACATATATTATTATTAATGTGTTTTAATTTGTTTTCTTTCCGCGTGTCGAATCACTTTTGTCGTTGTCGACATCGTCTAATGTGTAATATGCTTTAACATTATTAAAACAACTGTTACCTTTAAAAAACTTTCGTCTACTAGTTTATCATAAGGTAACCCGACATCCTTGGTCGTGTCGCCGCACGTGGCGTCGTTCTCGTGTCACCGACACAAACAACAACGGCGACACACATAGCACCAACGCCGTTATCACTTTGTTGTTATCAAAAAAAAAAAATGTTATCTTCAATAATGTGGCGATACCATAGTATCACCACTACTACGTTAATATTGTACGTCCGAATTATTGTACTGCGTACCAAAATTATTGTAAATATAGTATTGTAACGCTCACCGTATCATTGTATCGCGACTAATTTCGCGTGCCCATCGCGGTCCCGATTTTATCACCATGCCCCCCTGTTCCATCATGTACGACTCGCCATGGTGTTAACGACGCCTCGCGCGACGCACCGACGAGTCACTCGATTTTATTGCGTCCGATCGCACCCGTCTCCTTTTTGTAACCCGGTTTTTACCTACCTCTATACTGTACTCGTACGAACCTTTTGCGCCGCGACCAAACCTCGTGACTCCGTCGACAACCGCACTCTCTTTTTTCGTGCGCGACATATTTGTATTTTATATCTGTTTTGTCAGCCTTGTTTTACAAATAAATTTTGTCTTTTGCGACATATTTATACAAACATACCTTTGTCCTTTTTTCTATTTTCGTGTTGGTACGATTCGTGCTCACCCGACACTTATCTGCCACATTGGTGACCTCGTGTTTCCTTCTGAACTTTCACAGCGTTTTCGCTTCCGTTTCAACCGACGGCGACCCTTATTGTATCTCTTTTTGACTTGGCACCATGCAGTCCGACCGAAAACGCACGTCAACACCGACGGCGACCCTGTCTGATTCTGGCATCACCATGGCCGAAAATATCCCGCTCGAGGTAGCTGCGTTGATCCATGCTCGCCTCCCTGGTTTCTGGTGTTGCGTCCCTTATGTCAACGTCGATTCATATATCAACGTAGAAATAGAAATACTAATGTTTGCAAGTTAAAAGATTAAGTCTTTATTTAATACAATTAACTCGTACAAGAATACAATTTTATAAGCACAAGATGGAGTGAGTGGTGTTACGACCTGCCTCTGAGCGTCTCGAATATCCCTAACAGTCTGCTGAGCTCTTGTCCCGGTCTCCCTTATATATGGTTAACCGTCAAGAGTGGTGACTGGGGAGGTGGCGACTTCCGATGACCTAAAGGAGCTCTCTAAATGAAATGTATTATTCAGTTGGGTGCCTTTCCTGCGATTTCATCGGTTCTAAGAAATCCAAGACGTGTGATCAAGTCTTAATTGTTATATTAAATAGTACAATGTTAACACTATCGTTTACTCATCTATTCTGAGAAGTCCAGGACGTGTGATCAAGTCTTAATTATTATATTAAATATCACGATGTGCAGGTGTTCGCCCTAGCCGTTCGATACTACACTGTTTGAATATGTTATTCCATCGGTATACCCATCACCTCTCCATATAATATATGTGTTGAAATAACACGGTACGTAACAATTGGATCAATAACTAAATGGAAACCCGACACTAAGAGGCCTCGAGGACGCCCCAGATAAAGATGAGTGGATAAAGTAAAGGAAGACTTGAAACTCCTGAACGTAAGAAACGCTGAAAAATGTGCAAATAATAGAGAAGAATGGAAACAATATGTTGTTGCAGCGATGGGCCTTAAAGGCCTGTAAAAGTCCAGAAAGAAGAAAAAGAGTATCGTATCGGCAATTAAACTTGTCCTTTCTTGCTTATTCCAAAGTGCATGCATTTTCGCAAATGTTGATCTAAGTTGTTTTTTGTTCAATAGATCAGATAATTATTTTTCTGAATCTTTAGTGGCTACTAAATTGAATGTGTAGCTAGCTGGCACAGCGATGATGTGGATAAAGAGAATATGAAGATTCTGCCTCAAATGTAGTTTATTCATTTAAAATGACTTATTTCAATTAACTCTACTTCTTGCTCCTCTTCCATATTTTCAATTACAATTTCAGATTCTGAATAAACACTAAAAAAATGTATTATTAATTATTGGGTAATAATACTTTTTTAGAAATTACAAGCTGTTATTGTATTTGTAAAATATATCATCAGTTTAGTAATAATAAGTTATTATTTCTTACCGAAAAGCTTTGATGAAGTTTGAACAATTATTATCAGTAACTATTTTTGTTATTTTGTTAAAAATGCCATATTCATAAATTACATCATTCAATATTTTAGCCAAGACATCAAATTAATGTCCTTTTAAAAAAAAAGGATATAAAAAAACCTTTTATGCGACGATAAGCAAGCGCAGCAGATAATCTCTGAAGACTCTTCGGGTCATACCAATGTACTGTTATACCAATATAATTTTTGAAACATAAATTATAATTTTCCGGTTATACTTACATTACATTTTGAATTTAAACAATTAAATCATTGTTTTATAAATAATATCCATTTTTTACAGTTATTATTTACAAACCTCTTAAAAACTGACCAGCAATTTGCTGTAGCACAGACATATTTAGTTTCAGTAGATGACAATTGTGCATTAAGTTTAGCTTTCAAATTGGCTGCTGTAGTTGAAATTTTACTCATTAAAGTTTTTTTAGATAAATATTGCCCATTTGGAAAACCTTTTTGAATGATAATTTTGAATTTTTCCTCCTCAACAATATTAAACGCATGACTACTCATAATAACAAATTCAGTTATCATAGAATTTAAATTTTTTAATAAAATGAAAAAACGATTAGTTTTAAAGAAATAATTTATAAATATTAAGTTTCTTCAAACCTTGACTAACTGGCTGAGGTCTTGAAAATGCATCCGATATTGTTTGTTACACTTTCGCACTATGGCCACAATCAAAGTCATTATTTTTACATTTATTAGAAGATTTTTCAATTTTTAAATCTGCTTCAAGCTCTTTTAATTTAGAAGCATGTTTTGACTAAAACATAAATTATGTTTTTATATTATTTTTAAATTATGTGTAAATTAAAATGTATTTTTTTAAATTTAAGTAATAATAAAAATACAATTGTTATCCCAAATTGTAGAGGTTTGTCCAAAATGACAATTTTTTTCAGAAGAAAAAACGTTAAATAAATACACATTGAAAAAATTACACAATTTTAACTACCAACAGTAATTTAATAGTATTGTGCTGTTCGAAATTGTTATAAGAATTAGTAATAATGGCAATTCTCTATTCACATAAAAATATTAAAATTAGGGCTTTCACATTATTTGTTGCAGTACCATAATGTAAATACTAAATACTATCGCTTATGGAAGAACAGCCGATCGACACACACACACACACACAAACACTCGCGACCACCAGCCGTTATTTTTATAGCTATTATTGTTTTAATTATTATATTTTGTGTTATTGAATTATATCGGTAATCACTATGCAAATTTATCAGCACGTTTTCTGTTGCCGCCGCGTCGGCTGCGCGATATTAATTAGCACGGCCGCCGTAAATTTTTGTCTTCTGCCGTCTGCCGTCATGTGAAGTCCAAAAAGTTTGAGATATTTTTTTCTGCGCTAGTCGCCGTGTTATTATAATTTTTTTTTTGCTTAAGTATATTACACACTATATCATATTGTGTGGGCGCTAATCGCCTCTTTATATATTACATTTATTATTGTTTCGTGTGCGTGAATCGTCACTTATAATAATTATAATAATTATTTTTATATATTTTTATTCGTATTTGTGTGTGTGTGTGATATTATTATAGCAAAGGAAGCAGCTGGCCAATCTGTGCTCCACAATTTATGAGTTTTAATTATTACTATTTATTTATTTATTTATTATTATTATATTATTAAGTATTGTTAACATTTATTTTGTTGAGCCAAAAGGGCTATATATTTTTTTATATCAATTATCCGAGCTTTCAGCTCTAATAGCTGTTTTTATATATTATATTCGTGTTATTGAGCCAGAAGGGCCTTAGGAGGACGCCACACTCAAAGTGAAACGTATACAACGCTCCAGAGATGGCGTTGTTCACCATATGCCGCCGTCTCGGCAGGCCATAACCATGCCCATTATATTCGTGACTGGATACGCGCGGCGTAGTTACGGGAGCGGTGCATTATTATTGTATGATCGCTCGTTAAAGACGTTTCGGGTCATAATAAAATTCATACACGTAAATGCGGCCGTAATATTTTAACACCTGCGTTACCTATGAACAATTCATTATAAGCCATTGCTCACCTAAATATATGTACCAATAAAGAGATCGTAGGAACTGCATTTTAACATAGCTTGATTCGTATTTATTGAATTATTACTCATTAAAATATAATAGGTACCTTTAAACAGAGCCGGCGAGAAATTTTGCGGGCCTTGGGGCTGATTGACTTATGTTGAATGAATATAAAAAAAATGTTGTATGAAAGGCCGGTACTATGGGCCCTCAGGAAGTCTGGGCCCAGGGGCTTTGGTCTCCGGCCCCCTGCCCCACCCTCTCGTCGGCCCAGCCTATAGGTAAATAATTTGCAACTGTAATAATTACAATAATTATCCATACGTTCGCGCAAATTAATTACTAACTATACGACCATAGGCGTGTTTAGAGCTGTTTCCCATGCCGTGCACAAACTAAATATAGTAATGCGAACCTATATGGGAAGGAGATATGACCCTAAAATTTCAAAAAAAATCATTATTACCTTAAAATAATAAAAAAATCATCTTTTTCTTTTTTTTACTACGTATATAAATAATATTAATTTTATAATTTTATAAGAAATATACATTTATTGTATGCATTAATAATAAGACTAGTAAATCTATATTTTATTATACTTTGAATGTAAAAATAAATATCATAAACATTAAAACATCATTAAACCGCTTGTCGTTTTGCTGCAATTTTTTGCTTTTGCAAATTTTTTGCTTTTGTTATATGAGCTGGTTCTCTGATGTCTTCAATTTGCATTCTCTTTCCGTAAAGCGGATCAGCTATTTCCGCAAGCAAACATTCTAAGTAAAACCTGTAAAAAAATGTAACACATACAAATATTAAATAGTATAAATAACTATTGTAAAATTTATGAATTTATCATACATTTTTAATTTTTCAACCATTTTAGTGTTCCAAAATTCACTATCGTAATAAATGTTTTGAATATTGGTCCATTGCATTGTATATATCACAAAATAACAACATTTTCTACCAGTTATCCGCAGTTGACCCATTACTTGATAAAAATATTTGTGATCCTTTTTAAGAAAGAGCTTACCGTCATCATTGATGGTACATTACTGCAACTAATTATATATTTTACGGTAACTGATATCCAGGGGCGGCTCGTTAGGGGAGACTTTGAGACTGAGTCTTCCCCTTAAAAAAACCCAGTTACTTGTAAATAATAATTAATTAAAATAAAAATGCATAAAAATATTTTTATTTGAATTGAAAATATAATATTATACAATTTATATCGTTTTCTTTGTTTATTATTATGAATTGAAAGCCACCAAGTCTAAAACCTATAAATAGTTATTTTAATAGAAATGCTATTTTAGTTATATCGACGATAAAATAAATATTTTGTGGAAGTTACAAAAATAATGAAGTGTAATTACATTTTAATAACCAAACTAAAATAATATCGCGGTAAAATATGAAATTAAGATATTAGCGCCATGTGCAAGACAAAGATAGTATTACCATTACTATGTTCTATCTCATTCTAAAGTTCTCTCTCAGGCAACACTGCTTGGTGAGCACTGAGCATTCCAGTTATCATATCGTGTTCAATGGTGGAGGTATAGTTGTTATCATAGTGACCGTTATCAACATGTTATTTTAAGATACTTGATTTTCTAAAAATTTTTATAGATCATACTCGCATAAACAAAACAATTATTAACATTGCAATTATTTTATTCAACCGAATTACAATATTCATTATGCACCTAAGAAATAATCCAAGTCATATTATCGTACATGTAATAAATACGTTAACACCGATAATACTACGACAATGATAAAGATATTCGTTCACAGTTATTTTTATTCTTATTATTTGATGTCCTATACGGGGAACAATTTATTAATATTGTCATTGATTTTATAATATACAGATGAGCCATGCTATAGGACAGGGGTCACCAACTAATTTCTATGGGGGTCCGTTTTGAAACTTACCAAACTTTACGCGGTCCAAACAGTTTCAATGACTTTTACACACGTTAATAAATAGGTATTTATAATTTATAAATTTGTTATTATACTTATTTATTTATTCAAGTTTTATTATACACACGTTAATAAACAGGTAGGTATATACATTTTTTAAATTTATATTTATATTTATTTATTTATTTAAATTGAATTTGCAAAAAAAAAAAGATTATACTTAAAATATTTCATTTTTAATGTGAAAAATTACATTTTTTAGTTTTCACGAGCTTCCTAATATTTGGTGTGAAGTTGGTGCAACTGATTTGCATTAACTCGTTAAGGTGTTCATCTGTTAACCGAGATCTGAAATTGTTTTTAATGAAGTTCATCTTAGAAAAAGCGGCTTCACAAACATATGTTGATCCAAACATTGTACACAGTTTTAAAACCAAGCATTTTAGTTCTGGGTATTTACTTGAACAAACGTATTTCATCCAGAATTGATCGTACTGTAAATTGTTGGTGACTTGAATAAATTTTTCCTTTAAACTCAAGTCTTCCTGAAATTCGATTATCTCCATCTGTAGGGCAGCTTTATTAGAGCCAAAAACGCTTGTGGCTTCACTACTCCATTCGCCGTTGGGATGTAAAGAAAAACAATTATTCAAAATTTGCACTACATTCTCAATTTTTTTGAAATCAGTAAATCTATCTTCAAATTCAGATTTAAGTTTCTTTATAAAATTAATGAATTGATTGAGGTCAATATCATTATTATCTTCAGCGTCATCAAAAACAGTATTTAAGTTAGGAAAGTGCAAACGTTCGTTTTCTATATCTTCACAAAATAGATCCATTTTCCTTGAAAAACATTTGATTTCTGACAGTAGATGGCACACTAATTTTCCTTTACCCTGTAGTTTGAAATTTAAATCGTTGATATGTTTAAATATATCTGTCAAAAAAGCGATAGATATGACATGTTCTTTTATTTCAAGGAAATCCAAATAGTCTTTTGCACATAATTGATCACTGCTAGAAAGGAATAACTTGATCTCGTCCAATATTGCGAAAAATCGTTGAAGTACAAAACCTTTGCTCAACCACCTTACATTAGGTATTGTATAGCTGTAAATCACCATATTGTGATTTAACTTCATCGAGAAATGATTTAAATTGACGGTGCTTCAATGATGATTTGGCTCGAATAAAGTTTACTATTTTGGTCACTTGGGTCATTGTAGCTTCGAGATTTAAATTTAACTTGCAACACAACACACTTTGATGGATAATGCAATGATAAGATATTATCTTGTTATTACATTTCGGATTATTAATTAGTCTCTGAACAAAACCTTTTTTATTTCCAATCATCGATGGCGCGCCGTCTGTTGTTCATGAAATAAGTTTTTTCATATCTAATTTATATTTTTCGAAATATTCTATAACAGCTTGATATATGTCTTCACCACAAGTGGTCCCTAACAGTGGTAAAATAGTTAATATTTCTTCAACAAACTGTTCACTGGTATTATCGAAATATCGTACAAAAATACACAACTGAGCTGTATCAGTCTTATCACACGATTCATCCATAGCTAAAGCATAATAACGCGTGGCTGATAAAGATTGTATTAAATTAGAATGATTTTCCTTTGCTAATAGTTCTGTATTTCGAGTATTTGAAGACGTAGATAACGGAATATTACGAATAGTCTCCATAATATCATTTTTACTATCAAATAACGCATTTCCAGCTTCAATTATACATTCTTTGATTATATCAGCATCGGTAAACGGTTTCATGTGTTTAGCAAGTATCCATGAAATACGCATAGAAGCCTCTGTACATTTTTCTTGTTCACTCATTGCCTTGTTAATAATTTGAGTCGATGTTGAATAAGATAAATATAAACTCTCAATTTTGGATTTACGAAGATTACTTCCTACCTGATATTTTTCACTAAATGATTTGTGTTTAGTCTCATAATGTCTTTTCAGATTTGAACTTTTGATGATGGCTACTGTTTGTTGACAAATCAAACAAACAGGTAGAGCTCCAACACGGTTAGGTAACGTAAAGCAATATAAATCAGTCCATTCTGCGAGAAACTGTCGATTTTCAGCTTCTACTTTTCTTTTTTTTTCTTTCCATATTCAAAATGTGTACAAGAAAAACTAATAATCGAACACGAACAGAACGTCAAACACACAGTGCAGTAAACGGTTTGAACTTATGAACACTATCTATATTTGGAACTCGTCTGTCGCGTCGCGGTGCATACGGATTACTGCGAACTACACGCGTTCTACGTAGACAGACACTCGACGTTACGATCTTATCTTATTATTTATTATCGGATTTAAACTAGATAAAAACTTTTCCGTGGATAAGGCCCGTTTCACATGGACGCGTATCATACGTATCGTACGCGCGCGTTTTAATTTACATTGATCAAATTCATACGCGCCACTCCGACGATGGCGAGTTTCCCTCGCTGGCTTGGCGCGTATGAACTTGGGATCAATGTAAAATGAAAACGCGCTCTCGGTCCGTAAAAAAAGTGCTCGAGGTCCGTATCCGGACCGCGGTCCGCCAGTTGGTGACCCCTGCTATAGGAGTTATTGGAAACGCGTTTTTAGTTTAATTAAAATCCGAGAGGTATCGTTATTATATTTGTAAACAATTATATTTTATTTAGTAAGAAATGTATTTTTATAAATAATGGACGTCTTGAAATCTGTACAGGTTATACCGTTGTTGTAAACCGACATTTTCAGCATAAAAACGTAGTTCCAAAGTCCAGGCGCCTAGAACCATTTATTATAGAATATTTTAAAATATATTTATATGTATATTTTAAAATCAATGCTAATACCCAAGTCAGATCTAGAAAATGTATTTGAAACAATACAAAATTATGCAAACTTTAAAAATCGTAGAAAATAAACAGCTGAACATTAAAAATTTATTTTTTTTTTGCAAACATTTTTTAAAAATCATATCAACAAAATGGCTATTTCGTTTTTTTTTAAATATCAAATAGAAAATTTTTGATTTATTAATCTTACATAAAAAATTTAAAAAAAAAATCAAAAAATATTTTAAATGTAGACCAACGACAATTGTCAATTTAAAAAATTAAAAATTTGAAAATGTTCAATAGAACAAAAGTTATTGCATTTGTTAGTTAGTCATGAAACACTGTATATTTTAAAACATTATATTGAACTTATTACCTTTTATGAAAGTTGAAAACAATTAACATACCTATTTAAAACAAGAAAGTCATTATTATTATCAAATACAAGTGCGATTCCATATAATTGGTCGCAAAATCTGTAATTTTTTTTATTTTAAGTACATATCAAATTGTACTCTTCCTGAAGTTAAAGGATAACGTTGTATTTTGGACTTTTAAAATGGAAGTGCATCTGAAATTATAAGTATTGCAGTGCTCATTTAATCTTACCTTAAATATTATATCATAATTCTTCAATTTTATTTACAGATTTTACGAAAAAATGGTTACTCAGAGAAATTATAGACCCTCCGTATAGTAAAAGTTTATTAAAAAGTAACATTATTGAACTCTCTAATATAATTCAAAACAAGAAAATTTTACCAGGTAAAAATACGTAGTACATAATTACAAAATAATATTTGTAGGTGTTTTTATTTTATACGGAGAAATAGTATTTGTATCTGCACATACAATATATAAGCATTTTCTAGAAATTATTATTATTTACATTTGTTTTTTATATTTGTCTAGTGTTATATGTAAATGTACTACAATGTGTATTATGAATACACAAGACGTTATTTTTATTAATTAATAAATATTATAACTATATTTTATTTTCTTATAGAATAATTAGTTATTAAAGTTGATCTATAGAAATCTATGAATACGAATCAAGCTATATTGTATTACAGTTTTGACGATCTATATTTGCCAGTAATAACTTGAATTATAAGTTAGTATGTGGCACTGTGGCAGCACTCGGGCAATAGTTCCAAGATTTCTCAAGGCATTAGGAGACATCTGGCAGAAACATCGGTGCGTGTCGTCAGCAAGTGCTACCTGTGCCACAGCAGTAGTCATCAGGAGCGTGCTACTTCCACACCTAACCTATAAAACTTTTTCAACAAAATATCTTCAAGAATCTCAACCTGAACCGTGTGAATCATCAGGTGCCTATCGCCGCTAACAACGTTCATAAAACTGCCGTTCGGCATTATTAAATTTCCGATCAGCAATAAAATAAAAATAGTCGGTCTACAATGTGATATAAAGATGAAAAAATAAAAATTGAATACAACTATAAAATAGTACGTTAAAAATATATTTTCAAAAAATACAACACTTCAAAATATGCGTGTTTCACGTTAAATCGATTATTCTGCATACATTATTGTATGAATGAAAAGAAGCGTATTATGTATACTGGCCATATGGAAACTGTTATTGAATATCACTGTATATCTGCATGTATTATAAATAAAAAACAAAATATCCATATAATTGTTATTAATTTATTAATAATCTGTTAATTTTTGTTAAAATTATATAAAAGAGCATAACATCCTCATCAAATACATCAAGATGTCCTTAACAGAAGGTGTCAGAAATCAAATATTATCTTCCTTAATCGGTACGTTATCTTAATTTCACTTTATTAATGACTTTCAAAACTTAACTTGATTATTATAACTATAATTGGTTTACAGCTACTCTTGGAGCAATGGTTATGGGTACGATCCTGGGTTGGACGTCACCAGCTAATGCATTATTGTCAATTGAAGTTAAGTTTTTGATTTCCGTTGATGATTTTAAAAGTTTTAGTTCTATTTTTGGTATCGGAGCGGTCTTTGGTGCATTACCAGCGGGTAAAATATCGGCAATAATTGGCCGTCGTTACAGCATGGTATTATTTGAGATTTCCATCATTATTGGATGGATTTTTCTCACTATGGCCAATGCTTTATGGATGTTAATGATAGGCAGAATACTACATGGAATCGGGGTTGGAGCGCTGTGTACCGTCATACCATCTTACGTAGCTGAGATTTCTCAACCACATATTAGAGGTAAATGCTTACCGAACACACGTCTTAAAAACTAAAACAATACTATGCATTTTTGCGTTCGTAAGGAGAATATTTAAACATTTTATAAAATGTATGTTTATTAAAATTTTCCATATTTATGTGATCTTCTGTAGGAACGTTGGGAACAATATTTCAAGTCTACGTCGTAATTGGAATCCTTTATTCTTTCGTAGTCGGCTCGATAGTTGAATACGTTACATTAAATATCTTGTGTGGAATTTGGACCGTGTTGCACGCAATACTAACGTTTTTCATACCCGAATCACCATATTTCTTAATGTGTAAAAACAAAGACGAAAAAGCTAATGAATCAATGACGAAACTTCGAGATGGAAATGCCACAGACATTGCAAGCGAGTTGACCATGATTAAGGTATAACAGAATACAGGTTTATAATCATATCTAACAGGTATCATAACACAATATTTTCAGTGTCATTTTTTCTTATTACAGACAGAAATAGAACTCCAAACAGCAAATCAAGATACATTCATGAAAGTGATGGCCAACAAGACCAATTGCAAATCTCTTTTGATCGGTATCGGTTGTATGTTTTTCCAGCAGACCAGTGGAATAAACGCGATTATCTTTTATATGAGTTATATTTTTGATGAAATTGGAAGCTCAATAACCACAAATACATCAGTTATAGCTGTTGGAATCGTTCAGGTGAATTTTTTTTAATACCAAGTTTAAATATTGTAAGTAAATATTGAATTTATACACTCTAAACCTTTCTTTATTGATTTTATTATTTATTTTCTAAATGATCATACGGTATTGAAGTCTGATAATAATTTTTTAAATTAATAAATAATTAATTTTTTTTTATATTATAGCTGGTTATGACATTTGTAGCAATGACGATTGTAGATAAAGCAGGCCGTCGAATATTGTTGATAATTTCAGCAGCTGTGATGAGTCTGAGTTTCTTTGGTTTAGGTTTATACCTTGACCAGAGCAATAAATTGGTCCCTAAAGATTCCATTTTATCATGGTTACCATTGATTCTTATTGCGTTATATATTTCAGCTTTCTCTTTGGGCTTCGGTCCTATTCCATGGGTAGTAATGGGAGAGATATTTTCCAATGAAGTACGTTTAGTTTTCAAATACAACTTGAGTAAAATAATACTTTATACCTAAAAATAGGTTTATATAAATCATCTATTATATATTTGACTAACCCAAATTATTTTTAGGTCAAACCATTTGGTACAAGCTTAGCAACTGCCATCAACTGGATTTTAGTATTTGCGGTAACATTCTTAACGTTAGTGGTTAAGGATTCGATTGGTTTATCTGGCCTTTTCTGGATATATAGTTTATTTTGCTTGTTGGGTGCTATATTTGTTTGGTATATAGTTCCAGAGACAAAGAATAAAAGTTTGTCTGAGATACAATTGAAGTTATCCGGTAACAATAATTTGCAACCATTAACAAGTGATGTTTATTAATTTATAAGAAAAGTACTTAAAAAGTACTAAGAATTACAAAAATTAATATTTTCGAATGTTAACAAATTTTTTGCAATAAAATAATAATATTAAAAAAAAACCATTTTATTCTTTTAATTTTAATTTTTTAAAGTGATGCTGTTTATTAGGGGTGGAGAGTAAGTATATAATGGATGTGTTAAATTTAAATGCAATTTGTCAGTCTAGGTTATATATTATATTATCTATACTTAAAATGTCTATAAAATAATTTTTGCGTATATAATTTCGATATTTTTTTTTAATGGCAGTTGCAAAAACTTCAAAGGAACTATCCATTTTAAAGACATAAACTAATATAGTCGATAGACATATATAGATTATATAATAACAAAACTATTATACGACCAACTCACCATTATAAGGTGTAACATCAAAACGGTGAATTGCAGTCTTACAAATTAATTAATTATTTATTATTTAAACTATCGTAAGATCAAATAAAACTGCAACGGTAAGAAATATACTAGCATTGATTTAATAATATACAGATAGGCCGTGCTGAAGTTCCAAATTTGGACAGAGTCCTTCACTCCGCGAGAAAGGTATATGAGCCTAGACTCGTCCCCTTTCAGGCAGAGGCACCAGATACTTTTCGAGAAAAGTATCGGGCATCGTCATATGAGGACAGTTTAAGGCCGTCCACCAGTCTCAGAAGAGGAGTTTTTACGCTCCTCGCCTTAAACATGGGTTTTCAAATGACTTCCAGTTTGGTTTCAAGATGTATCAAATCTCTCTACTGACCTCTGGTAGGGCCGCGGAACTATCCAACCCGCTACTTAATATGGTTTAAGCAACCGCCAGGTGGTATACTCCCACCGGCAGAGTGGCTGTGTTCCCAGGAGAATACTCACCGTTAACCTTCGCCTGATCAGCATGCGATCAATAACCACTTTCGTCATTTACATGACTGCTACTACGAATCCGATCCCAGACGTCCACACCAGGTTTCCCCGATGCTTGGTTCCAGACGTCGTTCCCGTAGAACTTATTCCTAATTTAAATTAGGCGTCTAAAGTGCGACGTTCCGGCTAGACATCCATCATAGCCTTAAGCTAGGACATTTCGCCTCCCTACTATTTACTTTTACAGATACGCGAGGGCTAGTGGTTGGCCCATAACGCCGCGCTCGCGGGTCACACGGTGGTCGTGACCCTTCATTTTATTTTTAAATAGAGTGAGTACTCTATTCCACACGCTCCGCCTAGCGTCTACAGGTCCGAAGACCGTGCATCAAAACCACGCGCCCCAGGCGCACCTAGTGTGAACACGTAGGTCACTGGAGAGAAGAGCAAACAGAACTTGCCCCAAGGAGTAGTTTCCGCTGTCTCTTTTACCATCACGCCGATCAACACTGCAGCCCGCATCCCAGATGCCTACTCAATCCAATAGGACGAGCCACGGCCGCCAGAAATGGCAGACATCACCCCGTAGGGTTTATTCACACCATTTCCCATGCCGCACCTTTGCAACCACTACGCGTCCCCGACGCCCTCAGCTCTTTCGAGCGTGAGTCTACGTCTCATCTACTGAGAAACCCACTACATGACTGCGAACGACCGACACCTCCGTAATGAAACCACGAAACCCTTTCCAGAGTTCCGGGGAATTCACCAGGAAGCGCGGTGAACATGGCCACTGTAGTTCTCTCGACTCCACTAGGTCTATTAGTGCCCGTCTAACGCCCGCCAGTGCATCACACTCGAAGACGACGTGTTCCATCGTATCCGAGCTTCCGCACAGCTGACATTCGTCGGTCTCTGACTTAGAGAAGCGTAGGAGATAGGACCTAAATCCACCATGTCCCGTTAGGAACTGGGAGGACTCATGGTCTATCTCCACCCAGCTACACTACAACCTTTCTTTCACGCATGGGAAATAGCTATATGTGAGTGTACCCTTCTCACTAGCCTCCCACCGTGCTTGCCACTCGGCAAGTACTTCCTCCTCTACCCTAGCCATATGCTCCCTCCCGAGCCCTAACCTCCTATTCCTAGCCAAGTGACCCCATTGTCTAGAAGACAGGTCCAAAGGAAGAACTCCCGCCAGCACAGGCAAGGCATCCGTACACGTGGTACGATATGCCCCCGTTACCGCCAAGAGCGCACCCATTTGAGCTCCTAACAGCAGACGTTTCATCATACGATCGCCGACGGTTTCACCCCACACAGCAGCCCCGTAAAGCAATCTCGGCAAAAATACACCTAAGTATAATCTGCGCGTCGTCCGCCCACTAAGGCCCCAGGTTGAGGCTACTATACGCCGGATCCTCTGAAACATTGGTGCCGCTTTCCCCGCTACTCTTTTCACATGGCTTCTAAAACTCCACCTATCGTCCAAGGTAACGCCGAGATAATCCATCTCTGTTACCTCCGCTATCCTCTTCCCGTCCATCCTAAATGTGTAGGCTGGAGTCAGTCTTCCCTTCAGACACATGACTTTCGTCTTTGTGGCCGATAAGATCAACTTCATACCACCCGCCCAGGATCCTGCTCTTTTCAGTTTGGACTCTGCCTTTTGGATTACCACTGATCTCGTCTTCCCAGCTATCATCAGCAACGCGTCATCCGCGTAGCCGATAGATAGTTCTCCTTCTGATTCGTCAAGACTCAAAAAAGAGCCTATCAAAATGTTCCAGAGTTCTGATCCAAACTGAGACCCTTGAGGACAACCCTTGGACAGCCTAACCTGGCTTCTCTCCGTCGGCACAGTGATACTGGCGTATCTAACCCCTAGGTAGTCCCGTGTCATCTCACACAATCTCTCCGTGGCTCCCAACCTTTTCAAGTGATGCAATATTGCCGGCCACCAAACATTGTCGAACGCCCCAGAAATGTCCAAGAACACTCCGAGAACGTACTACTCTGCCCGACTTTCGGTCCATTCCCGCATTCTCAATATTGCATCGGTTGTCGATCTGTACGCTCTAAAGCCGTATTGATTATCGTTCATACTCGGACCAATCTTTTCCCTCAGTCTCACGCATATCAGGTACTCCAGTGCCTTTGACAGCACCGGAAGTAGACTGATCGGGCGATATGACTTTGGGTCAGATCTATCCTTGTCACAATTTTTCAATAGTGGTACCACCACTGCATACTTCCACCCTTTCGGAAAACGGGCCCTTCTCCAACACTCGTTGAAAAGAGTGGTCAGTATTTCCTCCATCACTGGGAACGCCACTCTAAGGATTCTGGCTGTTAGACCATCCTCCCCAGGGGCTTTGTCCCTTCCCATGCGCCATATCACCCTTCTCACTTCCTCCTGAGAAAATTCCTCACAGTGGATGCTCTCACTTTCTCCACTCCAGGCCGTCTCTTTAGTGTCCCCTAGTTGCACACCCGTCTCCTCGCGAAGTCGTTTGTGCTCCTCGGTTTTACCGTCGATCGTATCCGGGGGAATTAAGGAGTTGAGCAGTAAGTCTAGAGTTTCAACCAGACCCACCGTGCACACGCCTCCCTCCTTTCGGAGGGTTGCAAGCACACCTCGTGAGTCGGTGTTTGCTCCTTCTTTACACCACCGATAGGCGGACCCCCATGGTCTCTCGTTACCTTCCTCGGTAGTAAACTTTCTCCAGGTTCTAGTCTGTTCTTTTCTCCTACCTGCTGTGTACTTATTTCTCTCTCACCTGTAGATTTCTTCCAATGCGGCTGTCCTTTCCTCGCTTCCTTCAGCTCGAGACTTACACAGTTTCCGTCTTATCCGCTTGACAGTACGCCTCTGGGTCTCAAGTTTCTCCGTGAACCACTTCGGCATCTTGAGTCCATGGGGCCTCGTCATCGGCATCGACTTCTTACATGCTTCGGTCAAGGCCGAAGTTAGGTAATCCGCTCTAGAATGAATATCCCCCTCTAGCTCGCGTGATTGACCGTCAAACAGTCTTTCAGCGAGCCTTTGGCGAAAAACATTCCAGTCGGCTTTCCAGACATTAAACCTTTTTCGTTCCCATTCTTCCTTCTTTCCGTCCTCATTTACATCGTAGCAGAATATAATTAGTCGATGATCAGTAGTAACCGCGTTCAACACCACCTTCCAATCGTGGACATTCACGGCAGCACTCACCGACGCAAGCGTCAGATCAAGTATCGCCGATCCCATCCCCGACTGAAACGTAGGCGTCGACCACGAGTTACAGCAGATCATGTTACCCGACATAATCATATCCTCTACCTTCTCCCCTTTCAGGTCTGTATGTGTGTCATTCCAAAGTGTAGACCTAGCGTTGACATCGCCCCCAATGAACCAGTCCGCACCCTCCAATTGCCGGACGACTTCTTCCAGTCTTTCGACATGGATTTCGGTCGGCTCCGAAAACAGGAAGTACGCATTGCCCACATAGAAGCTCTGATCCCCGTTTCGTATCTCCACTATTACCAGATGAGTCCCGCTAAACTGCGTCATTAGTGTTACCCCCAGTTTTGGGTTCATAACCATGTTGCGTCCGTTATGTCAACGTCGATACATATATCAACGTAGAAATAAGAAATACTAATGTTTGCAAGTTAAAAGATTAAGTCTTTATTTAATACAATTAACTCGTACAAGAATACAATTTTATAAGCACAAGATGGTGTGAGTGGTGTACGACCGCCTCTTAGCGTCTCGAATATCCCTAACCGTCTCTGAGCTCTTGCCTGTCTCCTTATATAAGTTAACCGTCAAGAGTGGTGACTGATTGGTGACCAATGATACCTAAGGAGCTCACTAAATTAAATGTATTATTCGGTTGGTGCCTTTCCTGACGATTTCATCGGTTCTACGAATTACGACTGGATCAAGTCTTAATGTCCAATTAAATCGTACAATATTAACACTGTTGTTTACTTCATTTCTGAGAGACCAGACGTGTGACCATGTCTTATCTCATTATATTTAATATCACGATGTGCAGGTGTTCGCCCTATCCGTTGGTGCTACACTGTTTGAATATATTATCCCATCGGTATACACATCACCTCTCC